ACCACTGAATTAGCTGTATGAGCCTGGCCAAGCAACTATCGCTCTCTGTGCCTCACTCTCTCACCCGCTAGCCTGAAGGGGAATCTACACCCGCCTCATAAACGGGTTGTAAAACCATCACATAAGGCCTACCACATAATAAGAAAGAGCTCAGAAAATGTGAGCTATGATGCTGGTTCCAAATGAGGTCACCTTGGAAGGCTTTACCTTCTATGGCTCACCACAAGACTCCATCCTAAGAAGAATCCAGAGTGCTGGTAGCAAAGACTGGTACCCCGGTCGGGCCGGTTTGGGGGCACCAGTTTATCCATAGTTGGACAACCTGTTTCTTATCAGACCACTGGGCCCACTTTAGGAGTGAGATTCCTCTTTAGAGGCCTGAGATCAGTGAAGACCAGTTATCAGTCTCTCTCACCCTCCCCCCATTCTTGAATGTGACAGAATTAATGGTGACAAGGAGTGTTCAAAGACAGTTTCAAGGAAATGTTTAGACACTAGCCTCAGGGTCACATTGCCCACCCAGCCCGGTGATGGAAGAAGGATCCTCTGCAGAGAATTGGGGTCAGAGAGGGGAATGTGGAAAGGTCACCCTGTAACCCTATTATGGATGTGGGGTGGGTACTTCATTTTGGGAAACCTATAGATGGGGGGCAGCCATTTTCAAAACAGAAGTCACGTGGTCAAAGGAAGCCTCCAGGCGGCCACCACTCGGCAGCCCCCGGCCCCTCCCAGCGCGCCCTGTGCACTTACCGAAGAGCAGCGGCTTGAGGCTGAGGGTGCGGATGAAGTGATCCCTGTCTGCGACCAGCTGGATCTTCCGTTCGTGCCCCACCTAAGGGAAAGGGGCACACTGGGCAGCTCGGGTGCCAGGCCGCGACGCCCGAGGAGGGAAAAGGCGCCCGGGTTGGAACGAGAGCGGGGGTGGGGGACGGAGGGGGATGCGCCTGGCAGGCAGGGAGCAGCGCCAGGAGCTTCGCGGAGGCCAGAGCTGGGCGCCCCGGGCCCGGAGCGCGGCAAGGCGGGGGACCTCACCTTGATGCCCTCGAGCCGGGGGAGGGGAGCCAAGGTTGGCACGGGCCCGGGGCCCGGGGCGAGGCGCTGGGGCCCGGGGTCGCTGCTCTCGTCGCCGTTGCTGTAGTGTACGAAGAACAGCAGCGCCAGCACGTTGCCCAGGTACAGGTGCACGAACACCATCAGCACTAGGAAGTAGGCGCGCGAGCAGATGCCGCGGGGCTTGCACAGCGGCCGGACCGGTGCGTCCTCGCAGTCGCCCGGCCCGGCCGCTGCCCCAGTCGGGTCGTGCTCAGGTGGCACCCACTGCGGACTCGCGGCCTCAGGCCTCGGGCCCGCCGCCGCCGCCATGGCGCCCAGGTCGCGCGCGCGCCCAGGGGAGGGGCTGCGGGGATGCCCGCGCCGCGCCACGCCGTCGTCCCTGCAGCTGCCGCCGAGCCCGCGCGCGCCGCGGTCACTAGGAGACAGGACCTGGTGATGCTGCGCCCGCCTGCCGGGAGCCGCCCGCGCTGCGCTCCATCTCTCTGCTCCGCGGACCTCGGCCCACACTGGAGTTTCTTTTCCCCAGCTGGGTTATCGTCAGGCGACCCCCTAGGGCGGAAGCCGACCCCCCCCCCCAATGTAGATGCAAACGAGCAGCACCGTTCAAGGAAATCCCAGTGGAAGTTTCTCAGTTTCCTGGTTAAGAAGCACTTTCCTCCTCCCGGAAAAGTATGGTCTGCATATTCTTGCTCCCGGGAGTGCGGTGGCACCAAGGACGAGGCAGTGTCAAAGGATGACTCAATACTGCGGCGGTTTGAGGGCGCTGCGGATGCCGATGACTGCGCATATGGTGGGGTAGGACCTATAGCTTTCGGCGCTTGACACTCGCCTTTTGGCCTTCTACACATAGAAAGCCAACAACGCCTTAGAGGTCCGCTGTGGGGGTCAGGACCTCCCGGGGAGGCCTGCAGGAGTCAGGCTTAGGAGGAAGCTGCCTGATGTGCTGGGTACCACAGACGGTGGGACCCAGCCTGGAGGAGCCCTGGCACTCGGAAGGTCAGCTCCCTAACAGTAACCCGCAGAAATGCAGCAGGTACTTAGGTGCACAGAAAAACTTCTTGCCTCAAATCTGGCATATGGGATGGAGAAAGGGACTTTTCCATAATTGAGACATCATTGCCTCTGAGGAAAATTTAACTCAGATTATTGCCAAGTATGGAGGTAGGAAGACATACAAGTAGCCAAGTGCCAAAGTCTGGGAATTTGGGGGCTCCCTGCTCTTCTAGGGCTGGGTTATCCTCAGGCAGAGATGCACGTGCTCCAGGGCACAAGCCAACCCCCCAGGTGACCATGCAGACAAGAGCAACACCATTGAAACAGGTCCCATTGGTGGTTTCTCCTTACCCTGTTAAAACCCACTTCCCCTCCCACTTCCAGAAAAGTAAGTCTGCATTTTTCTGGTCTCAGAAGGACAGGCCAGGGGCTCTGGGCTGGGAGGGGGGGTGGGGGGCACCTTCTTCTCTCAGAGATTCTACACATAGTGGATACAGACCAGCGGGTGCACCCACTCCTCCAGCCACCCTCAGGGACTATCTTGTCAATCTCCTTAGAATACTACAGATAAACTGTCCAACGAAAGAAGTGTTCTGGATGTTTCCAAGGGCAGAGCGGGGAGCAGGTGACAATGGGAGGTGATGTGGCTCAGCCAAAGCTGGGATGCTGACCAAACACCACCAGTGGTTCAGCATCCTGCTTCAGAACTGACAACCAGGCAAGCCTGCCCCCCACGCGCCCTTGCTCAACATGGATGTGAAGACAGAAGACAGACGCAACAAGGATCTGGCCCTGCTCCCTGAAGTGAATTCCAAAAGAAGTGGAATGGCTGCAAAATAAATGCTTCTTATTCAAATAGACAAAAATTCTATTACCAATTTAGGAGTGTTCAGATTTCCTTAAATTGGCGTGTCTTCTAATCCACTCTAGTTAGGTCAGACGTCTCTCAATTTCTTTTTAATTTTCATTTTTCATGAAGTCTCTCAATTTAAGTACAAACAGTACAATAGAAACACATTTTTCCAAAATCATAAATCTCCTAAGTTCTTAAATATGATAAATACCAACCAAGAGTCACAACTTTACCAAGGATGTCACACTGCTCTGGTACCCATGAATGAATGTTGAGACCACTTCCTTCTTAGTTTTTTTTTTTTTTTTTTTTTCCCAGGTCTCTGCCAATACATTGTTTTGCTTCTTCCTTAGGAAGTGTTGCCATATTAGCTTTTTTTTTTTTTTTTTTTTTTTTTTGTAGAGGGCAGTGTCACTGGCCCTCATATGTGGGATCCGAACCCAGTTCCTAACCATCGTGCCACTCGGCCGGCCCTCTTAGCCTTTTATAAACTATAATTAGATCATCAGGAAATCCCCATGTTCCTTAAACTACTTTTCCAAAGGACGCAAGATTGGGAAGAGAGGGGTGCTTCCTATCTCCTATTTCTGCTCCACCTGCTGTTGGCTGTGGGAACTTCACAATCACATCATAAATTTCTTGGCCTTTTAAAACCTATGGCCTTTTTTTTATTTTTATTTTTTTTATTGGGGAATTGGGGAAGGAGAACAGCGTTGGGGAATTGGGAAAGGGTAACAGACAAGTTGCTTTCCTTTGTTCTTGCTGTCCTGGAGGACGTCGCTTCACTGGCCCATGTTGGTATTATCATTGCGCTCTTCCCAGGTGAGGCAGATCAGTCGCTGGCCACTGGACGGCTGCTCACAGCGGCTGCCAGCCACTTACGGTAACTTACAGCAGCCTACTGCAGCCTATGCCGTCGCCAGTGAACTCAGGGCAGCCCAGCTCCAGGTTGAGCTGTTGTTTACCATCTTAGATGTAAGGGGCGCAGCGTCACTGGCCCTCATGTGGGATCCAAACCAGGGCCCTGCTGCTCAGAGCTGGCGTCCCAAGCCAAGGTTTTTTTTGTTTTTGTTTTAAGGTAAGCCATCCTGCCACCTGTTGGAATCTCAGCAGTAGCTCAGCTCGGGCTGGGAATCGAACCAGCGACCCTGTTGCTCAGAGCTCCCAGTCTTGAGAGTTCTTAACCAACTGAGCCACTCAGCCAGCCTCCCAATCCAATTCTTAACCAATGTGCCACACAGCCGGCTATGGCCCTTTTGATGCCTAAACCTCTCGTCAGTCTGGCTCACCTGTGAGGGTGGCAGTCCCACTCATGACTGAGAGTCAAGTCTGGGCCTGTGCTGAGCTGTGTTCTGTTACAAAAATTGTACTTACTTTCCAGTTTCTAACAGTGAACATATTGTCTTGCTGTTTACTAGCAGTGGTGACCTTGGGCAAATTACTTCTCATCTTGAACAGCTACATGATGTGGACTGTGACAGCACCTACTTCGCAGGGCTGCTGTGAGGATTAACTGGTTAATTAATTGCTCAGTCCACCGTTTGTGTTGACTCTTTGGGAACAGGAATTGGTTTAGCAAGCCAAGATCAATGGCTGTGACTTCAGTGTCTAAAATAGAGCCCAGTCCACTGGCAATGTTCAGATGCCTATGAACCCCTGGGCCATGTGGAAAGAACCTTCCTACAGACTTTGCTAGAATGTGCTCTTTTCTTGTTCTTTTTTAAGATGACCAAAGGGTATGCTACCAAGGCAATAGTACCCTACCCACTTATCTGCAGGAATGGCCCCTGACCTTGCTGCCTCAGTGAAAACATTCACCAATGACCAATTCCATCTGTGCCCCCCAAGTTCTGGAGGCCCCCCGAGGGTAGAGCCCAGGTATCTTTTGCACACCATTGTGTGCCCAGGTGCCAAGCATGGAAGTTGGCTAACATGAGATCAAAGAAGAGCAGCTGTGGAGTTCAGACTGGCAGTGTCTGGAGCCTCTGATTTTGACGGCCCTGTGCATGCAGCCCACAGATCTGGAGCCTTCAGCCCTGAGCTGCCACTTAAGTTGCTGCCCATTTGATACCACAAATGGACCCTCTCAATCAGAACTCATACTCCATTTCCTGTCCTCAACCCTTGGGATTAACTCCAAACACTTCGTTTCTATCTAGAGTCCTCTCTTCATAATTCAGGGTCCCTCTGAATTATGAAGCCACCATCCCCCCTGAACTCCAGGGCACTATGCTCCCACATCTGCTTTGGAGGGACCCAGGGGTCTTCTGAATAAAGGGCTCAGGGCCTCAGCAGGGGCTGTGGGGCCTTTGAATCAGAACCCTACCACAACCCAGGGATCCATCTGAAGTGGGGAGTGGTTTGGCCTGTACCCAGGGAGGGAGAGGAGAGTCCCAACTGCCAGGCTAGTCTACTTACCTCCACAGGTGCCCTCCCCAGGGAGCCAGAAAGGAAGGCAGAGCAGTCAGGCCAGTGGGGCCCTCACAGTGCTCTGGGGATGGGGGGTGGGGGACTGACCAATAGGAATGCCCTCATTTGGTGCTCAGTGCCCACAACCCTCTGAGGGTCAGCTCAGGAGGAGACTTGGATCCTTTGAAGAAAGACTCTACACATACTTTTACAATCAGAAACTTTCAGTTTATTTTGAATAAACTACTCAACTTTGAGCAGATGACATTACCTCAACTTTTTCTTTGAAGAAAACAAAGAAATGTGGTAAATTCATGAAAACACATGCCTTCTTTGTCTTCTATCCTTGTAAGGCAGAAAAATTCTGCCTGACCTTTCCCACTTGGGACAGCCACTGGGCACAAAAGGAGGCTCTCCCCCCACAGGTCAAGGGCTGTAGGCTGTGGTCTGGACATGAACCTCCTGTGGCACCAGTGGTTGGGGCCACAGCTGGATGCAAGGGCACTCACTACACAGTAGCTGTGCAGTCCAAACAACCACAGAGGTGCCCAGGGTGTGACTCAAGGCGCAGAGCGGCAGGCAACTCAGGTCCTGGGCCATGGCGGCAGCACAAAGATGGAGGTAAGACGCCAGGATCTTCCATGTGCCAACACAGAATTCACACCCCACCCCAGATCCCACAGCAGGCACTGTCCTCATCCAGTGAGCTCCCACTGTCCAATTCTGGGCTCACCTGCTCCACTTCTAACTTGTTCTCCACTCCACCCCACAGTCCCTCCCTTGCAAGAGATGACAGGAAGACACAAAACCTGAGTGGGGAGAAAGGGAGCCTGCAGCTAGCCGTGTACACATGACTCCAAGAGTCAGAGCTGTCCTCTGTCTTCAAGAGTTCAGTTTACAGCTTACATGGTATCTGGGAAATTGCTATGGTGAAAATGTCTGAATATCAAAGAATTTCCAATACAATATTCATACATCTCCCAAGCAACTGTTCCAGGAGGTCAAGTAGGCTCTGTCAAGTATAGACAGCTCTGCCAATCTCGGACTAGAGGCATTGAACAAAGCCATAGAAACCCCTGGAATCACAGATTTAACTTTGCAAAGGCCCACAGGACCAAGTTAAAGACAGGCAGGACACCACACACACCACTTGCTCATTTGCGCTCAACTGTGCAAAAACTGGCCCTTTCCCCTGGCCAGCCCCTCCTAGGTCAGGAGCTGGGACCACAAACCAAGGACCATCAGGAACTCAGATTCCCAGGCCCTAGAGATGGTGTCCTCCAACACCTGAAATCAGGTGAGGGGGAGAGCACCCAAGCCTCAGAGCAGCCGCCGGACACATTCTAGGTAACATGAAAACAACTTGTACAAACAAGGCCCCTGAGCCAGGAAGACTAGTGCCCTTGGGAGGGCCAGGCTGAACTCTGACCCTGAAGTTCACCAGAGAATGTAGCAGGACAGTGTCAGGTATGGCTGCATGTGAACTTGGTCAGTTATACCACCGGGACACTGGCACAAAAGAACGGATAAAAGTAAACAAATTTATTTGGGGGAATAATTCCCTTTGAAAGTAGATCTCTATCTTTAGGAGACAAAAGGAAACACTGTGCTGAACTCCTGTCTCCTGGTCTGGAGGACCTCAAGTCCACCCACCTATCTATGCTCTGCTACGGGCTCTGGCTGCAGCAGCCAGACTAAGATAAGCCTCACCTTCAAGAATAAAGATGAACCCACAGACATGAAGTGCCATCAGAGACAATCAGACACTTGTGGCAAGACCCTGTTCTGTACTGTCTCCTCATTGCCAAGGTAAAGCAGGTGCACCTGACCACAAAAGGGTCTACGAGGACCAGGCAGGAGGCATGATGTGATTCCCTGGGCACCATGCCCATTACACAGGCCAACTCATTTCCCACCATCTGCCACCCATGCTCTTCCCTTGGGACTCCAGCTGCAGCTGTGGTCAAACACCATGTGAATCTGGAAGGGAGAGACCACCCTGGGGCCCTTTTGCAGGAGACGTTCGGAGGCAGGGTAGGCTGGCAGCAAATGTTGCATTCTAAGTAAAATAGCTAGAGGGTAAAACACTCCAATGCCAATTTATTTTTTAAAAGGGTTTTGTGTAATTCTATGGTTGTGTTGCCTTTTTTTGGTATAACTGTACA